TTAATACTAATAAATATATTGTGAAGTCCTGAAATCGAGAATTCAGTTTTCACTAGCGTTTTCAACATTATTACATTTTTCAAACAGACAATGGGCTGTATATGCACAGCTAATGTTTTTTAGCCAATGATGGACTTCCAGTGAGAGATTTATTGGACTATTTTCAATTTCAAAAGGTTCTTTTTACAGCATCGATATTTTAATGTAATTCAAATATAATCAGTTAAATAGACTTAAGCATTCATTTGCTTGTTAAAGCATGAAAAGAGTCGAAATACCGTTGCTCTGACATTAGCAGCAGGCTAGTGCAGGAAACTCCATTGAAAATTCTGAGGTAAAATAAACCGGCGTATTTTAAAGACATGGTGGGGGGAAATGGAATTTAATGCAGTGCTTTTTGTCTGATTTGAGACCCACTTTATATTGTATCTCAGACAGGCAGTGATTATTGCTGTTATTTAAAGAAATCAGATCTTAAACGCATCAATTTTGTATGGGAAGGCAATTCATTGGAAGCCCTGGGGCTGGCTGGCTGACCTAAAATAAACATCTTTGTGCAGTAACCCCATTGTGTGACTAAACATGTAATTAGTCATATCAAAATAAAGTTTTTTACTAGCAACAATTGTATTTCTGATTCAAAAAATGTAGATTTAGTTCATCTAGTAAGAAACAGCTGAGTTAGAACAAATCTTTAATCAGTTTTTCATCAATCATTTTTTACTTTAAGAATTTCTGCAAGTGGTGTCGCCATTAGTGTTATCAAGAATTGACATATTTACTAGTGGAAAAGGAGCATCATAAATTGCCATTGGTAGAAATTTTATTCATGATATGACAAATTGGCATTGTTTTACGGAAAATGTAATTGTTGATATCAATAATTGGATTGGAAATCAATAAATTGACTGATTTCAATTAATTGGTAAGTGATAAGATCATTACTGAAATCAAGAATTAACATCTTTACTTGTGTAATTGTAATTCCTGATATCAAAAATTGCCATTGTTAGTACAAATCTAATTTGTGACATGTAGAGTTAGCATTATAACTAGCGAAAATGTAATTGTTGATATCAAAAATTTTGATTATTTTCATGAAAACATCACTGTTAATATAAAAAAATATCTTTATTTTGTGAAAATGCAATTACTGATATCAAAAACTGTCATCGTTTCTAGGAGAAATCTCATTAATGAAATGAAGCGTAAGCATTTTAGCTAATGGAATATCTCAACAATTGAAATTACTAGCGGAAATTGAGCATTCCAAAATGCTATTAGCAGAAATTAAATTCATGATATGATGAATTGGCATTATTTAATTGTTACTTATTGCTTAGTTGATTTCAATAAGTGATCAAATCTTTACTGAAATCAAGAATCTGCATCTTTACTCAAGTAAATGTACTTCCTGATATCAAAAATCGCCATTGTTGTAAGTACAAATCAAGTTTGTGACATGAGTTAGCATTTTAACTAGCAATAATGTAATTGTTGATATCAAGGATTTAAATTCTTTGCATGAAAACATCACTGTTGATATCAAAAACGATCATTATTTTGTATAAATGCAGTTACTGATATCAAAAACTAACATAGTTTCTAGTAGAAATCTCATTCCTGATATGAAGCGTTAGCATTTTAGCTAATGGAAATACCTCAAATTCATAATACACTGAGACTGACTAAAAGTCAAAACGGCTTGCCAAATGAGTGTGCCTGAAATAGTGACAACTTTCAAGTTTTACAGTGCTAGAAGTGATGAAGTTAGCTTTTTGCCTCTGGGTTTGGGGTGCTAACTAGATAGGACTGAATTCACATTGTTGATTTCCATGCGCTGCTTTGTGCGTGTTTTTGTTCGGAGCTCTGATAATTATCCGTCCATTGAGCTCCAGCTCGACGACACCCCTCACTGCGAGCCTGTTAATGAAATGAAATGAAAGGAGGGGGGGTGGAGGAAGAGCTGAAAGGTGTTGGAAGCATTTAAAGGAGCCTCACAGTTGCTTTTAGCTCGCCGTTTGACGACACAATGCCAGGTCAACATCGTGTGTGGTTGCCCATCATGGTATATTGAATATATGAAGGGTCGTGGCATACATTCCTCTTAACAAAAGAGCTGGTTGGTCTTTATAAGAAAACAAAAGAAATTCTCCACCTACCAAGACCATACCTAGCATCTGCGCAAAATACATATTATATATTTGTGTCCGTGATGGGGTGTGAATTCTAATTAAGAGGGGGTGAAAACATATTTGTGATATACACATTTTAAAATTGCATCAAATTGTTTCATGCTAAATATTTGCAATTTCTAAGTGGTTCATTTAATCACAATAAAACAGAAAAGTAAACAACTAGAAAAGTAAATATAATTGTGTATTCATGTCAGTTATACGTGTTAAAAATGTGGATTTAAAAATTAAGATTAATCTATATTTATATAAATTATTTGTATAAATAATTTAATTAAAAAATTGTGAACAAATTATGCAAATAGTAAAAATAAATACTTTATTAATAAATACTCATTTTTTATATCACATTTGATATCAAACATCACAAATTTTATTTCTGCAAGTGGTATCGCTAGTGATATGATATCTTGATATTTAGTGATATCCAGAATTAACATGAATCGGTCCCTCGTCATTCACAAAAGTTACCTTCTAAAAATGAACGCGAAATCCAGGAAGTAGTCCACTTTATTTTTTACAATTATTATTGATGTTTTAAGGCTGTAAAACCCCTCACTAAATGCTTTATACACTTTTCTCAGACAGGTATTAACATTTGCACACTTTTCTCTCTTGTCTAAACACTCAAAGTTCAAACCCTTTTTTAAAAAAAAAGTCCAGTATTATAGAATAAAACCAAAGATCAAAATCATCTGATCTTAATTTTTTTTATTCTGTAATGGCGCCCTACAGCCGTGTAACTTCTACCTTCCTTGTCTAGAAGTACAACTTTTTGTGCGATAGTTGGCTTCTTCCTTTGCCTTTTGGGTTGCTACTGCAGGTGCCTTTGACAATGTAGAACGTTTCGTCGACATTGTGAGGAGAAAACTGGCAAACATACAGTGCAGCACTTCAGAGCCACACTGCTAGCGATCGAAGATTTTTGTAAATTTGGAAAGCTGAATGTATTCTGTATTGTACAGGAAACACAACATGGAAAGGATTGATTGACAATGGTCTACAGCCAATCAGAACACATAACACAATGCGCTAACCGAATCGCAGAACACAATGCGCTGTGGAAAAAAAGCATGTCAAATTGCATGAAAAAAATCAGCAAAACTATGAGGTCATGAAAAGTAAACCACGTTATAACGAGAGATCATTGTATTAACTAGCGGAAATGGAGCATCAAACACTAAGCAAGCATAAACAATTTTATTACTATCAGTATTTATTATTAAATACAAATTTTTGATAACACACTTGATATCATACTTCACAAATTTTTTTTCTGCAAGTGTTGTCGTCTTTACTGATGTCAAGAATGAACATTTACCAGTGGAAATAGAGCATCAAAAATTAAACTAGGATAAAATGTGTATATATAAATTATGCAAATAGTAAAAAATAAATAATAAATAAATAAATAAATACTCGTTTTAGATATCAAGAGTTTTTTACTTCACAAATTTTTTTCCTGCAAGTGGTGTCGCCATTAGTGATATCAAGAATGAACATATTTACTTGCAGAAATGGAGCATCGGAAACTAAACTAGCATAAAAAATATATTAAAATTATGCAAATAAATAATAAATAAATAATAAATACTCAGTTTAAATATCAAGAATTTTTCTACTTTAAAAATGTTATTCCTGCAAGTGGTATCGCCATTAGTTATATCAAGAATGAACCTATTTACTTGCGGAAATGTAGCATCGGAAACTAAACTAGCGTGAAAAATTATACATAAATTATGCAAATAGTAAAAAAAAATAATAAATACTCATTATTTTTAAGATCACAAATTTTTCTACTTCACACAATTTATTTCTGCAAGTGGTGTTGCCTTTAGTGATGTCTAGAATTAGCATATTTACTAGCCGAATTGGAACATCAAAAACTAAGATTGCATAAAAAATTATATATAAATTCTGCAAATAGTATTTTAAAAATACAAATTTTTAATATCAAGAATTTTTCTACTTCACAAATTTATTTTTACAAGTGGTGTCGCCTTTAGTGATGTCAAGAATTACATATTTACTAGCTTTAATGGAACATCAAAAACTAAACTAGCATAAACAATTATATATAAAACATGTAAATAGTAAAAATGATTGCTTAACATTTTAATAGTATGCAAGGGAAATTGATGGCAAGGTAATTTTATATTAATATGTTTGGTCCTTATTTTGTTATCAGTGTTTTACATAGGTATTCAAAATTGTATATAGATTTTAGTTATAGTTAGGGGTTACAGTTAAGGGGTTTGGTCCATCTTTTGCAATTAATAAGTAGAATTTACTTTTTAAAAAATTATTTACTTAATTTTAGATTCTTCAAGTGCAGAACACAATGTTACTTCAGTAATATGTAGCAAACTAAGATCTCAATAACATAGAGCTTAACAACTTTATTAACTGTAGGTCAATCTTTTGCTAATAATATAACCCTTAATTAAATAATTATAGTGTAGTAGCATTACACATCTAGGTCAGTAATAAAAATTGGTATCTAAAAACAGATAACACTTTTATTAATGTGATTTACACCAGCACTTGTATCAGTTTCTGCTCATTGCACAAGTCAGACCAAAGGTTAATGCATGTTATTATTTAGCATTCTCATTTAAATTTAGCTTGAATTCATCAACATAAATGCTTTTCCTCCACATGCTTAAAGCAAATCTGTCAGCGACATGGGGCAAATTCAAATGTAAAAACGAAAAACAGCATGTTTGACATTTCCACCCCCCCTCTGCCCTCTCACCGGAGGTAAATCCACTATATGTGTGTGTTCTCTCAGTTTTGAATGCATAATGATGTGCCCGACTGACAGTGTAATGCTAAACTCACCTGAAAGCGTGTGAACCCTCCCCCCCTGCGGTCTCGCCATTAACCCTTCTGCCGCGTTAGCTCCGTTCCTCACTTAATTAACACCTTGCTCTGCTGAAGCTGGTTAACAGTTCGCTGTAACACCTCGGAACGAGCTGAAAAGGAAGATCACATTTAATAAGCTTTTCTCTCTGTGCTTCTTGAAGCCCAGAGTACCTGAAACATCAGCCGGTATCACCTCAGCTTCGCCTGTTTCCGGTGCCTTTAGGGATTTTCTGCTTTTCTCTTCTTATTTTTTTTTCTCTGCAATGCTAATAAGTGATAAACATGTACTTTATGATTAATTTCCATCATGCATCTGCTTATAAATGAAGTAAACACATTGTAAACAGCACATAGTATAGTAGTGTCACAGCGCATAGTAACACTGCATTGCTGTTACTGTTAAATGTGAGTTTGTAATGGAGGTTTCAGACTGAATTTCACACTAAATACATGTATTTCTGACTTTTAGATCAGACTGCGACCTCTCTGAGCTCTCTGACTGAAGATGAGCAGAGCAAGCAGGTTCTGGAGCTTTCCGAGGAGCTGACCAGAAGAGTAGGATGTGTGGACGCATCAACTCTACCAGCAGGGTGAGCATAAATGTGATCTGTCACTCCATTTCTCTGTCTGTCTTATTGTCTGTCTGTCTGTCTTTGCAGCCTGATCTCACAAGGAAACGTGTCAGTTTAGTGGCTAATTGTACAAATTTGAGTTCAGTTCTACGATTTTTAAAAGGAGGCGTGTCACCAAACCAAACCCCACCCGTAAACCCAACCATCATCAAAGACTGTAGAATACACAACACTTGTCACTCGTATTGTTTTGAGTAGGAAAAGTGTAATGGTCAATACGGCGAATGAAGCCCCGCCTACTAGTACAGGAGCCAATAATCGATTGCTAAAGAGAAGCTCGGACCAGACGTGTGCTTTTATGACAGTTTGGTGGTCAACAAACACACTGGAATCTGTAGGAAACAAAGGCAAGGTACGGCCTGTCTTGTCCAGGGGTGGACAAACGCTCTTGTAGGGCCGTTGCACAGTTTAGCTCCAACTCAAATCAAACAGACCTGCTTATAGATTTCTACTGATCTTGGAGACACTTATTGGCATGTTCAGGTATTTTTGATTAGAGTTGGAGCTAAACTATGCAGGACACCGGCCCTCCAGGACCGAGTTTGCCCACCCCTGGTCTTGTCAGACTGGTGTCATGATCTCGTTCCTTCCGAGTGTGCAATGGCAACCTGAAAATATGCTGGTTTTGTTTGGTTTGAACGTTTAGAAACTAAACTTATGAGATGATTGTTGTTTAATTTTATTGATGGTTCCAAATATGTAATGTAATTGTAAGCTTGGCAAACAGTTTTGGAGAATTTAATGTTTCCCCATACAGACAAAATTCCTGAGCATACTGCCTGAAAGGCGTTTCAAATATGGCCGCAGAGAGAACTGACTTGCCTTAAAGGGACTTTGACGTTATTAAGGGATGAACAAATCATACTAAATTGTAGGAATGAGCCCATACGAATTAGCCACTACAAAGTTATAAACTGCTCTGAGAAAGTGTTGGTTTTTCTGTATGTAGTTTTAACATCTGTCTGTCGTTCTAACATCTAACTTTCTGTCTGTCTGTCATTCTAACATATGTCTTTCAGTCGTTCTAATATCTGAATGTATATCTGTCTGACGTTTTTTCACATTTCTGTCTGTCTGTCTGTCTGTCTGTCTGTTTGTCTGTCGTTGTACCATCTGACTGTCATTCTAACATCTGACTGTGTGTAATTCAAATGTCTGATTGTCTGTCTGTCTGTCTCTTTCGTTCTAACATCTCTCTCTCTGTCTGTCGTTCTAACATCTATTTGTCTGACGTTTTGCCACCTTTCTGTCTGTCTGTCTGTCTGTCTGTCTGTCTTTCTTTCTGTCTGTTGTTCTACCATCTGACTGTCAGTGTGTCATTCTAATGTCTGAATGTCTGTCTGTCTGTCTTACGTTCTAACATCTGTCTCTCTGTTGTTGTAACATCTGTCTGTCTGACGTTTTACCACCTTTCTGTCTGTCTGTCTGTCTGTCTGTCTGTCTGCCTGTCTGTTGTTCTAACATCTGACTCTCATCCTAACATATGTCTGTCTGTTGTTCTAACATCTGTCTGTTGTTTTAACATCCGTATTGTCATTCTAACATCTGTCTTTCTGACATTCTAATTTCTGTCTGTCTGTCTGTCTGTCTGTCTGTCTGTCTGTCGGTCATTCTAACATCTGTCTGTCTGTCTGTCTGTCGGTCGTTCTAACATCTGTCTATCTGTCGGTCGTTCTAACATCTGTCTGTCTGTCTGTCATTCTAACATCTGTCTGTCTGTCTGTCGGTCGTTCTAACATCTGTCTGTCTGTCTGTCATTCAAACATCTGTCTGTCTGTTGTTCTAACAACTATCTGTCTGTCATTTTAACTTACGACTGTCTGTTGTACTAACATATATCATTCTGTTCTAACATCTGACTGTCTGTCTGTTGTACTAACGTCTGTCTGTTGTACTAACATCTATCTGTCTGTCATTCTAACATTCGACTGTATGTTGTACTAACATCTATCATTTTGTTGTTCTAACATCTGACTTTCTGTTTTTCTAACGTTTGTCTGTCTGTCTGTCTTTCATTCTTACATCTGTCTGTCTATCATTCTAAAGTCTGACTCTCTCTGCCATCTGACATTTTTTCTAACCTGTGATGTTTTATTGACGCATATTTGTCTTTTCATCTGACATGCGTCTGCCTATTTATCAATCTGTTGTTCTAATATCTGACACTTTGCGTGTCTTTCAGTCTGCCATGCTATCATCTGTCTGTCTGTGTTTGTTAATTTATTTAAAGTCTGCCTTTGTTGTTCTAAAATAACTGTCCATCTGCTTTTGTATCAACCATGCGCCTGTCTGTCTAACCGGTCCTGTGTGTTTTCCATGTAAACAGGGAAGGATCTCCTACTCTGCTCACTGGGAAGGTGAACCAGCTGGAGCTCATTCTCCGACAGCTGCAGTACGACCTGAGGAAGGTAAGAACATATAATAACAGGCCTTTAATAACAGACAAACATAACGCTTAAATAAATCCTTAACATAGCTGAACACCCACTGTTTGCAGCATTCACCAATGCCAGTTATTTGTAATCACATACTTTGTTATTTTCCTCCAAAGGAGCAAGAAGACAAGGCTATGCTCCAAGAGCAAGTCCAACACCTCCGACAGGACAACCTTCGTCTGCATGAAGAGAGCCAGACGGCAGCCGCACAGCTGAGGAGATTCACTGAATTGTTTCTTAACACAATGGACAAGAAACCTTGAGCAGAAGTAGCCCGTAACTCCCCCTTCTTGTGCTTTTTCAAACTCCATAACCCAAGGAGAATTAGTCCAGTGTACTGTAAAAATAAAAGAAAAAAGATGTTAGAGGAGAATTTTCAGCATTTGAATGTGAACGTGTGCAAAGCTAATATGCTAACACACTAAAAACTGAGTCAAAGTTGGTGGAAAGACGTGAGAATGTGAATGAAAAACGGAGAGTAGGGAATTAAATATGTGATGAGGGTCGGAAAGGAGAAATTAAATGGGTTGTGACCTATCGAAGGGTACAAACGTGTCGTGAAAGTGAATGTAAATGCAATAAGCCGTGATTTCTTTCTAAAAATCTTTGGTTCCTTGGACTCGACGTCTTCAAGCGTGAGTTTTGATCGCTAGCATCGCAACTCAAGTTCAATCCTGGCAATCCCTAACATATGTGGAAATGTAGACCAGCCAATTGCAACGTTCCTTAGTGTCTAAAGCTCCCGAAGACTAGGTGTGCTGTATACCAGTTTTGAAACATCTTTTTTGTAAGTAACCCATTGAAAACAAATGTTGTAGCAATAATTTTGCTGATGCTGTAATCACAATTGTTCGATAAGATTAGCACTGAGTGTGATTTGGTTGTATTCAAAAACTTTTATGTAGAAAAAAAACAAACATACAAAAAAAGTCTTTGTGTGCCTGATGTTATTGGTGGTCTTTCAGTTGTTTTCGTTAATCCATCTTACTGTCTGAGTGCTTACAAAATCCATGCCCACTGCTTTTATCCGTTAGGCTTTGTTTTACCCAAACAACAGATGCTAAACGGCTGACCTCAAGTGGGAGGCCAGTAAACGCAGACTAGCACCTGTAAACCACTTAATATAAAAAGCCAAATTCTGCTTGTTGCTGTAAAGTACCTCAGAAAAAAAGTGTCTTGTACCTTCGCCCTCTTATTTAAGCTTATTTAACCTAAGATTGTTATTTTAATGAGAGTATTTTCCTTTTCTGCACTAAAAAAAAAAACAAAAGAGTAATTACTCCACGTGGCAGTACACTTTGTATACTTGTGAACCATGTCAGCAGTACTGTGTATAGCTTGGCTGAGAGATGATAACTGTAAACATAAAAATGGTTTATTTCTGGGACGTTCAGATGTTTGGATGCTGCTAGAGGACAGGATGTTGTTTTTTATGGCCTTTTAAAAGATGTTTTTATTTCTTTGTAAATTTGTTTCGTTGAGGTTGGGATGAAAAGCTTACCTTTGTAAAATAAAGTTTAGGATGTCAATAAAGTAAGACTTGTGTCCTTTTATTATGGCGTTTGTGTTGGGTTTATTTAGCATGTTTTGGTGTATGCCTTATTTTTATTTTTATTTTTGGGTCTTCACTGGTCTCATGTACGAAGACTAGCATTGAATTCATACTAAAACATTGCATACGGACAAAGCTGTAAATGGGTGTACGCAGTAAAAAAATTCAAATGTACGAAACACTGCGTACACAGAATCCCATGCATATTCTCTTTGTACATCCAAATTAACGTGAAACTGAGCGCAAGTGCACAAGCACAAAACCCCTCCTTTTCTACTTCCTCGTATAAATATGGTAATGACTTCACTTTGGCAAAACCAAACGAAAAAGCAATGGTTAAAGCAAGCAAGAAGAGAAACTTCACAGAATGTGAATTGGAGGTGCTCTTACCGGAGGTAGTCCATAGAAAAATGGTGTTATTTGCAAGTTTGCCTTCCGGAATTACTAACAAAAGAAAAAAGATAGAGTGGGAGAGTTTAGCTGACGCGGTTAATGCAGTGGGGTCTGAACATTGCACTATAAGTGAATTAAAAAAAGAAATGGTCCGATGTAAAGGTGCAGGTTAAGAGGAGAACAGCGGCGCACAGTCAAAGTGTGGACCGAAAAGGAGGAGGAACAGGGGATGTTGAACTAACACCCTTTGAGGAGAGAGTTGCCTCAATTGTGGGCGACACTTTACTGTCTGGGTGGTATCCGTGTCTGTGGGAGACAGATGTATTAGAGGAACACTTTGTTAGGACAGTATAGCAGCACCCCTCAAGGCGGTATCAAGGCAGCACTACCGGCATTTCAGCTGCCCAATCACCCGCTCTACAACTGGCCAACACTGCCAGTGCCATAGACTAAGGGTATACCGTTGCAAATGCTTTTATATGTTCTTAATCACAAATATTCTGGTATTTTGTCAGTTAACCAATTTTATCAACAATAAATTAATAGCAATGTTTTTCACGTGTACAGTAGGTGTAATACTTTGTAGTGTGCAATTTAACCATTGCCTCTATGAGTCACCAATGGAAATAAAACAATCACACACAAGAAATGCACGTATGCCAGACATGAGTTTGGCGCAGACCAACGCACATTCTCACGTTAATTTCATCTTTAGTAAATCCAAACGTGAGCAAAGTTTTTGTGTGTACGCAGCATTGATACATGAGGCCCCTGGAGCCCATAGTTGATTAATCTATGATGATTTCCATCATTGACTTTAAGAACAAATAAAGATTGATGCATTATTTTTGCTTTAGCGTGAAATTAATTAAAACTAATTAATATACAGTATTTTGGCATATTGCCATCTAATGGTCATTAGATTTATTAAAATGTAAAAGTTATTTTTTGCGGAATGGTTTGTCCCATCATCAACTAGCATACTCAATCAAATAATACACCTTTTTCCCTCAATTTTGTGCGATTTAGAATGTTGAAAAAAATCACTCAAAAATTAAAGCAATGGATTATGTCTTGCTGCACTGGATTGTTGGGGGTTTTTTTTTTTTCCTGAATTAGCCTACACAGATTAATTGTTCACCTAAAGCAGGGGTGTCCACACTCGGTTCTGAAGGGGCAGGATCCTACATAGTTTAGCTCTGACTTCCTTCAAAACACTTGCTTGGATGGTTTAGTATACCTAGAAAGTACTTGATTAGCTGGTTCAGGTGTGTTTATTTGGGGTTAGAACTAAAATATGCAGGACACCAGACCTCCAGGACCAAGTTTGGGCACCCCTGATCTAAACAATAACCATAAACAATAACCATATGTTCTAGCAAATGAAACTTTGCAAATTTTGGAACAACACAAACGTGAGGAATTAATGATATAATGAAGTCTCAAGTGTATGTTTGTATGGTAATTTACGACAGCTTTGAATGCAGCTCAGCCAATCAGAACCATGAACATTTTACTAGTCATTATAAACCCCTTAAGAAGCAAAGGAATGGTTTCTGAAGTACTTGTGAACTCTGTATGCCTTAAAATCTGGTTTTAAAAGCCAGTGGTTGATCAATACAGGCTTGTATTATTGATCTGTTTCTTTCAAAGCTGAGCAGCACCTTTGAAAGTGTCGCCACCTCTAGAGATTTAAGACAATATGAAACATAACAAAAAACAGCCTATCCAAGTAGATGTTTGTGACATGTTTTTTTATCTATGGCTGTAGTGTTGTTTTGATGGATTAAGAGAAAGAAAAAGCTGAGAAGATGGAGGAAACAAACGCAGGGGGCTGAAATGTGCAACAGTCAATGACCCATTTCGGGAGTGTGTTATTCGTGAAAACTCTGAGAAAAATCAATACAATTCTCCCTTTGCTGGTTGTGATTGAGGAGAAGTGAAATGGCAGCGCTGCCCTACATCCGTGAGGAACCAGCGGAAAAATGTCAACCTTCCTTGGTGACCTGTGATGGATGGCACGGACCATGGTGCCTTTAGTCCTGTGGGATCTGACAAGGTGAAACTGTGGTGAACAATTGACGGTCATTCCAAGACTGGTCACTGTATCTTTGCATGAATACAGAGTAAAACTAAGGGTTAAACTGACAGTGTAGGATTATGTTACACAGTACCTACAGGATTTCATGAGTCAAATCATTCTTGAGGTAAAAAAAAAAAAGATTTTTGTGTATATTGTCAATGCAAAACACAGGAAATTAAGCATTTAATGACATTATATCCTAAAGAAATTGTTATTGTTGCCACAAATATGTATAAAATCTAGGTATTTTATTTTATATGAAAATAATGTTAAAGTAATTGACATCAGCTTTTATTGTGGCAGAAATGGGCTTGTCTTTACCATTATTTTAATAAAAGTAAAAAATATTAATGTAATATGATAATTTTACCCCCTTTTCAAGACTTGAATGAAGTCATTTGTGTCTCCAGGATGTGTCTGCAAAGTTTCAGCTCAAAATACCCATCAGATTATTTATCATATCTTATGGTATTTTCTGCTCTGAACACAATGTAGCTGTTTTGTGGCCTGTGCCTTTAATGCTAGTTCTCCCTGCCCACCGTTCCCACGTGCCAGTGAAGGAAGCAGATCTCAAGTAACGTTTGTGAGAAATCCTACAGTTAGAACTTTCCCAATGATTATTAGATGTAGTTGTTGTGGAGTTAATTCAAGCCTTTCTGCAACGATGAGTCACACACAATTTTTACCATCAGGAAATATAAAAAAGTGATTTTTTGTCTTTGTATCACCACAATACAAAGACATACTATACCTCCCCACAGTTCTGTCCAAACAGCTTACAAAAGATGATTTCCATTGTGGGTGCTCTTTATGTTTAAATTCTGCCATAATACCTAATGAAAACATATTGTAATAATGACCAAATTTAAATTCATGACAAGACAGTTTTTACAAAATATGACTAGTGCTAATATATTTTGTAATTAAAACCACATAGCAAAATTTCTCTGGCCCACACAATCAGATTTTGCTTGGTCCACATGCTGCAGGGATTTACGGTACATGACTGGACAAAGTCTGGCTTACAAACAAGGACCAAACTTGGACCATATCTGGGTCAAGTCTCAGCCAAGTTAATAACTCAAAACTGGGACTGAACTGGGCCAGATAGGTTGTTGTTTCACGATTGCAATAAAATTGATAAACCCATGAAGCATTGCTCTTTTGGCAAGCTATGGGCATCCTTTTTCCTCGAAGCGACCTGATTGGTAGATTTTATTTTTTACTCAAAAATAATTTTTATGTATTTTAAATGTGGGTTGAGACAGGCCAAACTTACGTGGCCCACATATTAATTTTTAACATCTGGGCCAAATACTTCATTTTAAATCTGGCCCAAATTGTGTGCCACCTTAAAGACACTGCCATCTCTGCCAAACCCAGGCCATGTTTGGCCCACAATGCTGTATGCCAGTGCCGGAAGAATGCCTGCTGTGCCAGTTTTATGCCAAATATGGGCCAGAATTCTTTGCTGGGTTACCTGGGTATTGACATATCTTTGTCATTATTTTGACATTACATAATTTCCATGATGTGACTGTTTATGCCATAGTTTTGTCCTTTGATCTCATTTATATGACATGATGCAATACTAACTATATAAATCTTTACCCTGCCATAAGTTGAGATTTTTCCAATATGGGGTAAAAATGTATCTTTGATATCACAGTCATCAAGCAGCATTTATTATAAAGATATGTTTTCTTTTTGCATCATTTTTCTTCTATGATATATAGCCGCTCCCAAAAGAGCTGAATGCTTTTATTGGATCTTGATTTGAGATGGAAGTCAGAATCTGTTTTATTGCCTTTTTCTTGTATGATGTTTCGCATATTTGAACACATAGCAGTGGTAATCGTGTGTGCTTGTGCACGCATGCATGCATGTTAACATCATTAAAAAGCAACGGTTCATGTCTTGCTGCAGGGTTCAAGTGAAGGTCAGCGAATGTCAGCTGACGCATTTTATTTATATGTGATCTTTTCTACTTATTAGCAATGTCAGAAATACTGTAAAGTCCTTGTTGTGAAGATCTGGGAAACATTTGAGTTGTGATAATTCAAGCAGGCCTGCAAATCATAGATTATTTTGCAAATTGAAGAGATGAAAGCACAAAAACCAGCCAATATTCTCAGACCACAAACATGTTTAACTCACAGTCAGTTTGAATGTTTTGCACTATAGAGCTTTTTAGACTCACTGGCCACATTATTAGGTACACTTGTCCAACTGTTTGTTTATCACACATTTCTGATCAGCCAATTACATGGTAGAAACTCGATGCATTTAGGCAACCAAGAAGTTTTTTAAACATGACAATGAGTTTTCTGTCCTCAAATGGCCTCCACAGTCACTAGAACTCAATGCAATAGAGCACCTTTGGGATGTGGTGGAACGGGAGATTTGCATCATGCATGTGCAGCCGACAAATCTGCAGGAACTGTGTGATGCTATCATGTCAGTATGAACCAAAACCTCTGGGAAATTTTCCAGTACCTTTTTGAATCTATACCACGAAGGATTAA